TAGTTTGTCTGGTTTGGTTTTGGATTTTTTCCCTCCTAAGTCTCCAATTTGTGGTAGTAATTTTTTTTATTTAAGAACAAAATAATTTTGAGTTGTTGTTTATAAACACTTGAAAAAAATACACAAGTATTGAATAAATTGAAAAACACTTAAGAAATGTATGCAATCTCATAAAAAGTGGACAACGAAACCACGGAGAACATACCTGGAGTGAGGCTGCTCAGTTGTGCCGTATCACAAGAACATGCAAATAGAGATTACATAAATCGTGGTCAAAATCTTCTAAAATTCTGTGACTTTTAATCCTTGCCAATGAACTTGCTCACTTGAATACAATTTATTTAAGGGCAACCCAAGAGTGGGGGCAAACAAATTGTTTTATATTTTGGGTTTTGCTATATAGAACAGTTGGAGATCACTTGCTTGTGTAGTATTCCTAATCTGGGTATCATCTCACCCTTCCCTCCCTGTTATTTCCATTACTGGGGAGGAAAACACAGAAAACAGTAAAACTAACACTTGATTGAATAAGACACAAGACAATCCTTAGTGGCACTGCAGCCACTGGACTTTGTTCTAGTGAGTAACCATAATGTTCAGCTAAAATACATAGAAATATATGTTTCACCTGGAGATGAGTTGTCTTTGTCATGGAATGTTCAATGCTGCTGAGATTTGACATGGGCAAAGCTTGGCTGAACTCCAGTTCTGCTCCTGGTGTGAGAAGGGCCAAATTCTACATCCAGAGCCAGGAGAGCCCTGTCTGAGCCCGCTGCTCCAGTCAGCTGTGTTCCTCCAGGAAATGCTCTTCCCATGGATTGGATGTGCAGCAAAGGGGACAGACTCTGGGACAAAACAAAGCCAAGCCCCTGTTCACTATTCCATCTTTGCTGGAGCCTCCTGTGACACCTCTGTGTCTTCCCCCATGTCTAGTTTGAAGTTTAAGCAGCACCTGCTGGTGAAAACAAAGGCCATGGAAGTGCTGAGCCATCCTCCTGGAAGAACAGGTTTCATCATCTCCCTGAGCTCTGAGTAAGATGTTCTAGAATGGAATAAGCTGGGCTATCACTGTTTGGAGTAATTTTGTCAAGGTGAGGGCTGGTTCATTCCCAGCTCTGAAGGCTGAGTGTGACCCAACTGATCTCCATGAGTTTGGGAACTTTCAGTGGCTAGACTTTGGACTTGCAGATTAATCCGTTGACAGAATTAGTTTGGACTGTATCTTCCCACTAAAAAAATTGTTATTTTGTATAGTAGAAACCCCAATGTTACTATTCATGTGAATTGATTTTTGAAAAGAGGTAAAAGAAAACAGGGAATAAAACTGGAATGCCCTGAGTTGAGGAACACGTTCCACCACATACCATCTCAGGTAATTATGCAGGAGGAAGTGTCGCTTGTGTGTGATATCTGTAAGTGGAGCAGTGTCTGTTTGAAATAGTGCTGCTGTCAGAGACAACAAGGGAACTTCCCTAGTTTGGTACTGGGAAGAGAAGGATTAGACTGTAATGATTTCCCTTCTCTGTGATAACTGAATGCAATATAAAGTCAAGTACCTGACAAAGGGTACTTGAAAAGAAATTTTACCTTTCTTTCAGTATAAAGCCAAAATCGACTTGGCAGCACAGGGCTGTGGTTAAAATGTGTGACCAGTACCAATTCCAAAATGCAAGAACTAGCCACTCAACCTCAGAACATTATCACAAGACAGGTAATTGAATTACATTACATGATCTTTAGTAAAACTAAAGGAGGGGAGATTTAGATTAGATGGTAGGAGGAAATTGCTTATAGTGAGGGTGGTGAGGCCCTGGCACAGCGTGCCCAGAAAAGCAGTGTCTGCCCCATCCCTGGAAGTGTCCAAGGCCAGGCTGGATGGGGCTGGGAGCAGCCTGGGGTAGTGGAAGGTGCCCCTGCCCATGGCAGAGGGTGGCACTATATGGTCTTTAAGGCCCCTCCCAACCCAGGCCATTCTGTGATTTCACAATTTTTAATGTATAAAGTATTTAACATTCATAAGAGTACTGGAAGGTAGCCAAAACAGCACAGTGTGAGTATGTTAACATTTCTCCTCACGAAAATGGACCTGAATCATTTGTTAGACCCCACATTTTCCTGACAAAATAAAGCATAATAAAGTCACCACTACTTGACAGATGCAGATAAGAGGAATGGTGCTGACTGGAAACACCATTTGAAGGCTAAGCAGCAAATGGAAAAAACAGGAATTCTGCAGTGTTCAATCCTGCACAGTATTTATCTGGATTAGTAATAAAACGATTCACAATTCCAAAATATTTTCTATAATAAGAAAATTTTTTTTTCATGGTAATGGATGTTCTTTTATACCAGAAATAGGCTAGATACTTCATCAAATGGTTTGTTGTCCCTGGGCCTCCTGTAGTGATAGGATGGGTGCGTGGTGCTGCAGTGGAGTTACAAAAGCTGTACTATTTTAATGCGGAAGGATGTGGTTCGGGGTTGGTTAATACACATTGCTTGACATATTTACAAGTGTCAGATTGTGTTCTCTGTTTATAAGACTTGTGCCAAAAGGAAGGGGAGTAACATGGGCCAAAGTACTTCCCTGATTGCGGGTGCCAGGATGTAACAAGCAGTTTCAAGGCTGTGACACTTGGACTGGATAAATTACAATTGTAACTGAACATTAATAATTTGTATTTGAAAACATTTTTTCCTCACAGACAGGCCCAGTCTTTGCAAGACAGAATTCCTGCTCTGTGTGGCAAGGAAGGGATTGGATGGATGATGGATTTGTCAGAGGAAACACACACACAGTAAGAACTCTGAGCTGGGTGGAACTTTTCTTTTGGCTTAAATTCTGTGTCTTAGTCTGTGTACGTAATTCAGGTAAATGTGATGCCTGTTTGTGGGAGAGATTTGTTACCATGAGGTAAATCCAAACAAACCCCAGTCAGCCATTGCAAGAGATGCTAATCTTAATTTATTGCCAAGAAAAGTAAATTGCAAAAAAGACACTTAAATGAGATTAAAATCACGATAAGGAAAGCTGCCATTGAGCACAGAGTGAGAACTTTTTCCACTGAGTCACATCATTGAAAATGTGCTGCATTTCTGTATTAAAGCTTGATCTGAAATGCTCCATATCTTCACCTGTTAAACGCAATATTTGCTTTTTACCACCTGTGGAACTCTCCAGTCAGGAGAAACTCAGGCAGGTGAGCCTAAATCTGCTCCCACTGGTTCAAATTAATGGGTCATTACAAACAGTAAGAACGTTATTTGTGATGAATTATCTCTTTTAAACCGAGTATCTTCTTCTTGCATGGTGCTGACTTAAGAGTCGGACTCCAGGATCAACTCAGGATAATCTGTGGCTCTTCTCCAGACCACGATTATTTTGGGAATGAATTTTATTTGTTTATCTATCTAACTCAGGTGTTTTCGAACTCCCTTTATAAAAAGCTATAGCCACCCAATGTCTTCAAAGCTGTTTCAGGTGGCTCCAGGGCTGTGCAGAATGTGGGGTTAAACTCGGCTGTGAAGGGGAGCTCGGCGTGCCTTGATACCGCAGTGACCACGGATGAGTTTTGAGGCCTTTTAAAAATTACTTTGAGCACTCTCAGGTGCTGGTAAAACCCTCCGGTGATCCGCGGAACGGCACCCTGAGATCACCGGCGGGCGGGACACGGTCCCCGTGCTGCAGAACATCCCGAGGTGGAAGGGACCCACCAGGAGCACCCAGTGCAGCTCCTGGCCCTGCCAGGGCCACCCCAAAGATCCCCCCTGTGCATTCCTGAGCGTTCTCCGAGTGCACCGGGAGCAGCCTCGGGGGCCTGGGCAGTGCCCGAAGAAAACCTTGCCCAAGTGTCTGTGTAGCCCGTTTGTTATTTTTGCTTTTCCTTGATGGGTAATAAGAGAAATCTGTCTGGTTCAGAGACAGTAAATAGTAACTTTCCTTATCCAGTTCTTTATGTATTTGGGGGGGAAAAAAAAAAAAAGAAGATCCTTTGGTAAACTTGTAACATCACAATGTGAAACTGTTTCATCTTTTCCAGTAAGACATTGGTTTTTCTTATGTCCTGTGGCACTTTGCGACTTTCGAGTGGTCCCCGGGGAGCCCGTTCAGTGCCCGAGCATCCTCCTGGGGGAGATCCTGGCGCTGCTGTCCCGCCTCCTGCCCGGCCCGGGCCGTTCCGGGCGCTGGCAGCGATCCCGGGCCGAGGGTCGGGACCCGACCCGGGACCCCCCGGCCCCGCCGCTCCCGAGCGCCCCCGGCGGGTGGCGGGCGCAGCGCAGCGGCGGCGGCGGGAGGCGCCCCGGCGCCGGGGCCCCGCCCCCGAGTCCGCATCACGTGGTGCGGCGGCGACCAATGGCGCGGCGCGGTGCGGGCCCGGGCGCCATTGCTGTCAGAGCGCAGGAGGCAGAGCGGGCGCGGAGCTGCGGCCGCTGCGGGCACGGCCGGCACAGCGCGGGCGGACAGCGCTCCCTGCCCGGGCCGGGCCGCGCCCGCACCGCCGTCACCCCGCGGGCAGCGCCGACGAGGCGGCGGCGCCGGCAGCAGGAGCGGAAGGAGGAGGAAAATACCATCCACGCACAGCCAGCGGCGGCAGCAGCGAGGGGCGGCCGGGCGGGGCGGGGAGGGGACACAGCGCCCCCCGCCCGCCGACGCCTCCGCACGGGGCCGGGACCGGGACCCCCCCTCGTCTCGCCCGCCCCGCGTCCCGCACGGACCCGCCGCCCTCCGCGCGACCCCCGACCCGGGGGGGCCGCACCTGGACGCGGAAGGGCGGCCCCGGGCCCCCCCTTCCTCCTCTTCTTCTCCCGGCCTGGAGGAGCGGGGGACGCGTCCCCCCCGCTTGCACCGGAGAAGGGCCTCCCGTCTCGAGGATTATCGGCGCGGGGGCGGGTAGCGAGGAGCAGCGCGCCCGCCCCGGCCTCGGCGCGTCCCCTCCCGGCCGCGGGGCCCCGCGGGGCCGAGGGGCCGGAGCGCGGCGGCCGCCCCGGGCAGTGACGGGGGTCGCCCCGGGGGTCGCCCGCCTTGCCCCTCGCCCCCCGGCCGTCCCCCCAGACATGCCCCGCCGTGGCGGCCCGGCTCGCCGAGGATCATGACTGCGGCAGCGAACTGGGTGGCGAACGGGGCCAGCCTAGAGGACTGTCACTCCAACCTCTTCTCGCTGGTGAGTGAGTGGGCGGGTGGGCGCCCGCGGGTGGCTCCGCGCCGGGTTTGTCGGTCGGGAGCAGCTGCCGGGGGTTTATAGGCAGGGCCCGGGGCTGCTCCTGCGTTGGCCCCTCCCCCGGCCCGGTCCCCGTGTTTATTTTGCTCCTTAGCGTGGTTTGCTGCGGGTCTGTGTATCGCGCTCGCAGCTGGAGAGCGGGGAGGGGACGGCTCTGTGTCCCCTGCACGACCATCTTCCCTGGGTAAACAGGCTCCTCTCCCCGCCTCCCTTGGCACTCCGTGCCCTGTGCGCTTTGTGCCACCGAACCGGGGGGTTTTCTCTCCTCTCACAATGACAAACGCCATTTCAGCAGCAACGAACGCTCATGTAGTGTGATCGACTGTCGGACTTAGCTCTGGGCTCCTGTGACGGCGTGTCAGCTGCTGTTACAGCATGCTCTCCTCTTTGCACACATCGTGCTCGGGGGCAAGAGGTTAAAAAAAAACCCAAACCTTTTAATTTTTTCTTTTCTGAAGAACAACAGCGTCTGACAGTAGTGTGCCGGATTGTTTGCATAGATGCCGTCTGCCCATCTCACTGGGAACTTCCGACGTGGTTTAATGTTGCAGAAATCATGATATCAGTTTTGGCTGGCTATAGACCGGCAATTTAAATTTAAAATACGCCAACAATTTGCGTGTAACGGCAAAGTCATTTGGAAATACTTTGCTTTATTTTACCTGGCACGCACAGGAACATTATCCCTTCTGGCTGGGCAACAGCTGAGTGAACGAGAGGGCTGCTGGGTCGTCGGGAGCCTTCCAGTGCTACAGGGATAATGTCGGAGGGGAGGAGGGACTTGTTCAGTGCGTGGTGTGGTGGAGTTAAAACCTTGTGATGCAACTTTGGGGGTAGCATGTGTGAAAGGATTGTGGTGGGTGCCCCCTCCCCGCAGCAGAGCTCTGCCAGAATTGGAGGTGGGTGCATATGTTCTTCTTCTGATAGAACGGAAGAGATTGTTTTTAGCTCCCTTATGAAAATAAGGAGAGGGAAAAAAAAGGAAATTACTTAGAAATGCAAATGATCAAGCTCTTTGTTTTATGCTTTTTAACGTTATTGTAGTGTATTTGTTATTTTGTCTCAGGGTTGGTTTGTTTTTTTTTGGTTTTTTTTTTTTTTTTTTTGATTTGGTGTGTATTTTGCTCGTACCTTTTAAGAATCTGGAACAAGACCTGTAGTCTTCCACTGCTAGAAAACTGCCCCGAGAGCTTGTTCTGTGAGAATGATACATTTCTAACTTTGGCTTTTTATCGAATTGTTACGTTATGTAAGTTTGTATCGGTGCTTCTGTTTGAAGGCATGTAGTAATATTTATAAATATGTAGCAGTGCTCTGTGTATCGAGATGCAGGAAGGGTGATTTGGGGGATTGTTATGGTGATTTTGACTACGGCTGCTCTTAGCCGGGGAGGAAAATAAATCGGGAAGCATGAAGGGAACAATCGTATCTGATTGTAGAAGGGAGGCAGTGGAGGGTTTGCTCTTCGCAGAGTTGTGAAGTCCCCGTTCATTAATGCAGACTGGAGTGTGTGTTTGGAGAGGCGGAACTTCTCCTGCAGTTGCAATCTGCAAATCTGTCACTGGTAAAAATAATTGTTGGCATGCAATTAGCATAAATTATAAAGTGAAGCTATTTCATAGTTATTGTGGTTTGGTTGCTTTTTTTCTCCCACCTGACTAGGCTAGGGAAATGTTCAATTTTAAATGGGTGTGTAATATCACTGAAATAAGTTAAACGAAATTCTTTTGCAAGTGGCTTTAATAATAATGAGTTTAATGTGCAACCCTTTAATCTTCCTTGTAATTTTGTGGGAGGTATCTGTGCCTTAATGTGGTGCTGTGTATGAAACTCTGTTTTTATTGTATTCTGGCCCCACAAAAATAAAAAAGGGGATCAAGTAGTAGTGTTTTTAAAATACAGCCGATGTGAAAACTGTTCAGAAGATTTATTTTATATTGTGTTAGGTTTTTTTTTAAGATTTATGTAGCAGAGAAAGATATTGAAAATGGAAACACTGACTGAAAATATGTGGCCAGCACCACTGACCCTTTAACCTCAGATTGTCATATTCATTTCAAAATTTATGAAGTGTTTAAGATACAGTAGTCTGGATTAGTAGTTAGGGAAACTTTTGTTAATCATTTACTTTTTCAGTGTAACAGAACAAAATCTAAACCACTAGCTGATGGGAATCCATTCATTCTTTAACAGCGTGGTAGATTACAAATATTTTGAAGATTGATTCTGCTATTAGAAGTTGGGGGTTTTTCAACTGCAGGCTTTGTTTTGTGTGTGAATCACAAATAAATGTTCGTGACTGGAGAATTACAGTTCTGAAATAATTATAGTCTATCATGATACTGTTTGTTCATGGTTAAATAATATTCCTTGCCACAGACATTTGTTTTGTGGAAGCAGGAACGCTGTCTCCCTGCCCTGGAGAAGCCAGAGCTCTGTGTCAGCTCTGTCTGGCTGCTGTGGTGGGTTTGGGTTGGTTTAACAATTCATGATTTCTATTTTTCTGTCAGTTGTAGACATGCTAGAGAGGTTAGGAACCTTTGCTGCTTCTGAATCTTTTGATGGGAAGTGTTTTCTTAAAGCTTTTAGTAACTGATTCTCTTTTATCAATGATGTCGCGACACTGTGGAAGCCCTCAGTGGTGTGGGCTCAGAATGTCACCTGAGGGTCTGAAGTGAAGGTTTCAAAGTTACCTTTGGCTGTGCAGGTGCTGGGGGTGGTGCTGGGCTGGCATTCCATGGAATGTCCCTCTGGATTGCAGCACTTGGCAGCACCGAGTGTGTGTGGTGTTCTCTGGCAGCACGGGGATCCAGCGCCACCCTGGGAGATGGGTTCATGCTGGTGTGCTGTGGAAGATGGGCTAATGTGGGAGGCAGAGCCCCCAGCCAGCCTGCACACACATCCCCATCCTGCTCTGAGTGTGGAGCCTTTCCCAGTAAGGTGATGGAAGGGTCGGTTTGCATCTTTGTTATCAGAGTACTCCTCAAATAATAACTTGTTTAATCTGCTCAGTATAAAGCTTTGCTCATTAAAAATACACTTTCTGTCTGAAATTGCTGTTCCTAGCACAGCAGTAGGACAAATGATATTTATCCTCACTCTGTTTTTGCTGTAGTCAAAATGTCTGCTGCTGCTTCTGAAAAGAATGTCTGTTTTGATAAACAGTATTTAATAAGCCATTGTATGGGCCAGTTTATTTAAATACTAATTAAGAGCTGTCTAATAACTATTTAGAGACAAAATGTTCTGAGGTAATATGCTTTGTATTAAAACTTCAGCCTCAGCTGGCAGCAGTCTTCCTGTGAATAATCCTTAATCATAAAAGTAGTCTTACTGAAATTAATTTGACTTTTCCTGTGAGTAAGGGTTACTCATATGACAGTGAGGGCTTTCATGAAGATGTTTCTTCAACTATCTAGGCTTTGGTACCATGGTGGATCCAAGGGCACAACTCAGTCTTGGGAAATTGGGGTGAAGTTGCATAATGTTGGATATATTGGAGCTGGAGAGTATGGCCAAGGATGTCAGGAATGACCTGAAATTTGGAGGAGCTTTCATGGGGTAGAAAGGTTTGGTACTGTAGGAATCTTCACGCTGAAAAAGACACAGTTGTGTTCTGGGGAAGTGAGACCAGGTTAGAGAAGCTGCTATGGAAGATGTGCCATGTTCCTGTAGAAGTGCATTCCTACAGAAGCCCACTGCCAGAAGGGTCCAGGCAGTGGGAATTGTGTTTGTTCTTGTTTAAAAGGCAAAGTTAAAAACAGTGAAGGCTGTCACTACTGTTGCTTTTTGCAGTTCACATCCAGGAACAGAAGTTGTCCCCTTTGATCAGTGAGTTTTGTTGATGTTTCCAGCATAAAATAAACGGAATTAAAGCAATCAGAGGTGGCATTTGGCTTATTCTCCTAAAGGTTCTTCATGGCATCAGAAAGTGAAGGTTGCAGAGGCTGCTGTGAGCTATTCCTTGGTGTTGCATAATTTTCAGTAAAGGACTTCATAGTAAATGTTGATTGCTCAATGCCTTCAGTAGTAGTGAATTAACCAGTAGTCCTTGCTTGTTGTGTTTTCATAAATGCAGTGCTCCGAGCAGTGGGCTGGGATTTTGGCATGCTGAATGTTCAGCACTGCACAGTGTCTATCTTGCTTGTTTGGAATTTTATGTAGGTGTGAATTTACATGCATAAATAATTAAGAAATGGAATTAACCTCTCAAGTTGTGCAAAAGTATTTGATTCTCTAGTTATCTTTGTCCTGAGTTTTATTAGGTAACAAGACAGAAGTAGAGGGATGACATTAGAAAGCTTGTTCACTTCTTGCTAATAAAAGATTATTTCAGGTTTTAAATCACTTCAGTGGTAGGTTTTTATTACGTCCTGTCAGAGTATTTGACAGTTTAATGGGACATGCCAGGGAGAGGGTTTGAAGTGAACAGACCCAGATTTGCAAAGAGATTGGGACAGTGATGTTCAGCCAGCGTGCCCTGCTCCAGGAGGGGAATTGAGGGATCTGTTGGATAACCAACCTTTTGGGAATATTCCCAAAAAATGGGGGGGTGCAGGAGTGACATTTGCAGCTCAGAATAAGTGTGCCCAAGCTAATCACGAAGAAATATTTGAGTGAGATTTCCTTGAAATCCCGAGTATCTTGTGAATGTGCCCATGTCCTGGGGCTGGAAATCCTTCCCCAGAGACTCTGTCCTCATTCTGGTGGCACTGTGAGTCCAGTTGTGTGACTGCTGTTGGGAACATCAGCACAAAAAAATTAATACCCAAATATCAGGATGAAGCATCAAAAAATATCCTAGGTAACTACACCTTAGGAACAAGAATTTTAATTTGGTGTAATGCTATCTGGAAATAGATTTTTCTATTTTTCTACATTTTTAATACAGAATTGACCCCAGTTCTCAAACACCCTCCCCACCCTGACTCATTTGATCTTGA